GAATGGATCTGGGTTGTCCGAGGATAAAGACTGAAATCTGCGGACTGGTACTGAATGGAACCAGGGATAGAAAGCTTCCAAAGGAAAAGGGGTTGGTCCAGTGAGATGATCAGACCTCAATGAAAATTTAGGATTTTTAAGCTTTAATAACAGTTATAATAGTATGAATTTTTCTTTTTATGTACTGAGTGTATTTAGAAGCTTTTCTATATAGTTAGAAACACTGAACTAACACCTATGTGCATGGCTCATTAGTACTACAGAAGTTAAAGGAAGAAGGCAGAGAAAGCAAAAGGCAGAAATAAACTGGGGGCTCCAGGGTCAATCATTGCGTGAGCAATACATCCTTGTTGCCTCACCTCTTCTCCCTAAACCTCTAAATCTGGCTCCTATTTCCATCACTCTGCAAAATAGTTCTCTTTGATGCAATAACTTCACCATTGTTTAAAACACCCTCATCAAGGTCAGACCCTTTGTTGTGTATATTAGTCAGGATAGGCAAGGATAGGCTGCAGTAACAAATAACCCCAAGGTTTCAATGTCTTAAAACAACAAAGATTCATTTCGTGCTTACATCACATGTCCACTGCAGGTCAGCGGGGCTCTGCTCTGCATCTTCTTCCCTCTGGGACCCAAGCACACTGAGCGGTGGCTGTCTGGGATATTGCTGGATGTTGTGGCTGAGGGGACAGTGAGCTCTGCAGAGTTGCACATAAGTAATTAAATGCTTTGGCTGGGAAGTGACACCTTCTGCTCACAACTCACTGGCCACCTAATCATATGGGCCCATCCCAACACAAAGGAGCCAGAGAATGCAATCCTACTATATTCCTAGAAGGTGGAGAGCAGGAAATATTGAGTCTGATAAAAATCTCAGGCTTTTTATTTCAGATAGTGCATTAATATGTCATCCCTCCGAATGCTACATACATGTAATTCCAGGGGATGCAAAGATCCCCAGCAAGGTTTAGAACATATAACTAATGAACATCCAATGTGCTGGGCCTCCTCCCTGACTAGCTTCCCTCTTAACTTGTTTTCATAACTGTACTTAGCTGTTCCTCCTTAAACTTCTGAGAGTTTTCCTTTTTTTGCTTCCTTTTCTTTGTTTACTTTTAAAAACTGTAGGGTTTGTAAAAATGCACCCCTTCATCTCAAATCCCCCCCCCCCACTACCCCAGCTCTACACTTTCTTCAAGACCACAGCCCTGTTCCGCCTCCTCCCTTGAGCCGTGTCTGGCCAACAGTCTACAATAGTCCCCCTTTCCCTGAATTCCTCGAGTAGCAGCCTGAACCACGCAATGAGCTTCCCGCGCCATGCTGACTGCTCTGTTCCACAGCTGCGTCCTGAGCTTGCCTTGTGCTTTCCAGGAGACGGTCATGTCTTCGAAGGCAGGGCTTTGCCTTCTAGCCCTGTACATGAGGCACATCTGAGCTCCCAAATGCAGGCTCCCTTGGATTGGCTGTCCAGAGATTTGGGTGCTGGTCCTGCCTCAGTCACTAACTAGGGGTCCCCACTCCCTTCTCTTGGACCTCTCCTCCCTTGACCCCTCAGCAAAGTGAGATGGTTGGGACTAAAGCTCTCTAAGGTTCTATTCAGCTCTTATGAATCCACAACAGGTGAGTGACTGAGAAATTATTTGAGGTCATCTCTGCCACCTTGTGGAAGGTTATCTGTGACTGCTCCAGAGCCCTGGCTCCTTCTACCCCCAGGGGTCTGGCTGACAAACTTCCTGTTTCAGAAAGAAGAAGAAGGAGGGAGGGAGGGGGAGAGAGTCACTTGGGAAACTCCCTCAAGCAGGCTAGTATTTTGAAAGGTCTGGGCCTTGGGTCTCCCAGGGGCAGGAAGGAGAAGACTTTGGCTCTGATGGAAAGAGGGGAGAAATGTCTAACCTGAAGTGTTGGATCCCCCAGGGCGGAGAAGAGACAGGTTGTAGGTTCCACGGTGCCTCCCAGAGGGCAGGACCTTGGGTGGGGATGACTGAGGGGTTACCTGTGGACACTGGGCACTGCACCTGGGGTCCCCTGGACGAAGCCTAGAGACACTAGAGAGGACCTCTGGATCCAGAGCTGCAGCACCTGAGGGTGGTGGCCTTTCAGAGCAGAGGTGACAGAGTGATCAGGACATCATGGTAATGATACTGTCACCGCCATCTTCCTGAGCTGCTCCAGCAGTAGAACATTGGCCTCCCCTCCTTTTCAAGGAACCACAAGAAATTACTGAAGCTGGACTTCTGCTTGGAGTAGATTTGGGGTGGGGTGGGGTGTGTGTGTCATTTTTCTTACCTTGGTTTTGTAGAGCTCTTTGTGACCTTACTGGAGTTTTGTGTGACATTCCCGGCCTAGGTGGGAGCTGTAACAGCAAACTCAGGCCCAGGCAGAAGGTCATCACGTCTGTTAGAGCCCGGTCCCTGCAGGTATCGGCGCCTTCAGAGTTGAATGAGAGCGCACAGTACAGTGGCGGGCAGAGACGCGGACTCACCGACGGCTAAAAGGGAAGCAGGCTTGAGGGACCAGAATCATAGTATTACTTACTATGTGTGCAGAACATTTATTATGTGCCAGGCACTGAACACCTCTTTTACTTTATTCAGCAACTGTTGGATAGGAGCTATTATGATGACCCCATTTCATAGATACAGAAACTGAGGCACAGGGCATTTAATAACAGCAACCCCCTTGGAAAAGGCTGGGGTGACATTTGGGGTGAAGGTACATCAAATTCTAAGACCAGGTGGAGGTGTCAAATACAGCATGTATAGTCCCCTCCTTCTGCCACACGGAAGAGGGGGATCGGCTCAGAATAGAGAACAGAGGGCTTCGGAGGTGAAGTCCGGCACTGGCATCGATCGGCGCCAAGGCCTTCATTTGAGCCCGTTTCCTGTGCAGAGCAGAGAGGACGGGATCTCAGAGGACTACATGAGGATGAAGCGGAATCGCGTGGGAAGCATTTAGCCCAGCCCAGCATCCAGCAGCTGCTCGGCGAGCGATTTCTAAACCGGTGCAATGGCAATCATAAAATAAAAACAACGAAAACCAGGCCCTTGTGCTTTAACGCTTTCCTGGTCTCCCACAGTAAGTAAATCCTGGGACAGAAAACTCAGCCTCGTGGGTAAGAGGGGGGTGAGATTGCCAGCTTTTCTCCTTCTGGGGTATCTCTGCGAAGTCAGCGGGAATCGGAGGCTGTGTTTGTAAACGGGGTGGAGTGTATTGGGCACTACACTCGCTCGCAGCGCCGAGCCCCCTTGCTTTTCTTCTCAATGTGTGAATGCACATACGCTGTCTACACAATTAAAAAGTACACGTGCAGCTTCTATAGGCCATTGCTTTCTCGGGCCCCAGGGACGCCGGCTCCAGGTGCGAGTGCGTCCTGGCAGTATTTCTGATCACAGACTTTGGCCTAGGTATGTTAAAGCAACTTCTCAAACAATGCACTTTTCCTCGCTTCCTCACAGTCACACCTAGCTGTTAGCAGAAACTTTTCTGGGGTTGTCATCTTTTTAAAGATGTTTCCAGTTCAGTTCCAGTGGCTTCTGCATCTCATTGCGCTCTTGGTAATCAGCTCTCGTTACACCCCAGCCCTGCTGGATGAGCTGTTCTCAGGTGCGAACCCGTGGCTGCCTCTTCCTGCACCTCTGCAAGTTCCAGGCGGCCTCCTCCCTCGGCCAGTGGGGACACCCACTTCCAGCTGTGCACACCTCACCCCAGTTTCCATTCCGGGAAAAGACTGTGCTGCGTTCCACATCTGGCCACATGCTTATTATGTACGTCTTATAACAACTGGGCCTAACTGGGAGAGACGCAGGACCTGTGCTGAGCCCACTCATTCTTTGTTTTCTTGTTCCTGGAACCTCATTTCCCTCCCTCCAGTTCGGCCGGTTTTTTGCATCCTGCCACATTATGACAACTGCTCCCAGGAGCGTGTACTCCGCTCACACTTTGCCTCTGAAGCAAAACCTTGTTGCTCAGGATGCTCCTTGTTTCTGTATCCTGCCCAGAGGAGAGCCGTTTTGCTGGTCTTCTCAGATCAGCCCCCAGTGGAGTGAGTCTAGCTTGCCTGAGTCCTGTCACCCTCTTTTAAATGTGGAATGTCTGTGCCCTGGTCCCAGGGAGGCACCCACAGTGATGCTTCAGAGCAGGAATCCCGAAGGCAAAGGCCTCGGTCCATTCAGAGCCTGCGAGGCAGGAACACATTCTTCCATCAACAAACAGTAAAGGGGAACTTCAGGCTCTGTGTAGCCAGGGAGGGGACAGTGAACAGTGAGATGCACAGTTCGAGCTGCCAGAGGGCAAAGCTCAGGAGAAAGCAGCAGAAGGCTGGGCTGAAGATGTCAGTCTTCAATCCCATGAGATGTCTTCCTAAATGAAAGGATAGCTGTGGCCTACTGAGAAGGACATAGGGACTCTGGGGAGGACAGTATCAGAGCAGAAGTCGTATGACTCTCCATCAGGGTGAAGTACAAGCTCTATGTGACAAGGGACCGTCTCTTGCTTGCCATTGCATGAATCCTGTGTCACCGAGCTGTGACGGGCAGTTATGCCTTCTGACTGGCTGAGTGAGTGAATGCATTAGTGCCGAGATACCCATGGATATGACCTGACAGGGGATTATCAGGATCAGTTGCCAATTCAACTTGGCTGTAATTGCGGGTTTCTTCCCAGGCTATTTGAGACATGAATTAGTGACTGTCAGGCTGAGAAAATATTTCAGACAAGGAGGTCCTGGAGAGGAGCTGGGACGCCTGTGACGGAGGCCACTCAGAGGGGGCAGTGTTCCAAGTGGAGGGTCTCCCCTCACCAGTTTCTGGGTGACTGGCTGCCTCAAGGGTTGGGGCTGTGGGAGCACAGTCCGGCTCTCATACTCTGTCCTATTAAAGATGATAAGAGTGTCCTCACTATGTAGTGTCAGCCCACACCTACCAGCATCTGGCACATATATGGCCTCAGGGAATGTCTGCTGAATAAAAAATAAAGAATGCAAGAGAAACAACACACAACAGTTAAGCTTCTCAAACTCTTTAATTTTCTTTTTTTCCACCAAGACCAAGGTTACACAATCAGGTGTCAAATTCTGGACCATTAGGGTGTGAGTCAAAGTCCCTCCTGCTCTCCCTCCCACCTGTTCTCAAGGTGTGTCTCCGTCAGCACCTGGGGACCCGGGACAGTGGCGAGGCCAGGGGCCAGGAGCAGTGAGCGCTCACACCACCCAGGAGCACTTTGGAAACGGATTCGGCTGGCGACCACACAGAGGAGGCCCCCTCCTCCTAGCCCTCTGCTGAGCAGACTGGGGCTATTCCTTTCTCGGGCGAGAAAGACAGAGGGGCGCCTAAGGAGGGTAAACGAGCACCTAAGAATCGGTCACGCCCAGACAGTGTGTCCACTGAGATGCAAAGTTCTCCAGCCATTATTTTCTTTTGGGAAGTGCAGGGGAATAAAATCAAGACGACTGAATCTCCTTTCATTCTGCCATTTTGTTCATTAACTTGATGGCTCTTGGTTTTGATATGGCAAAAATAAAAACGAAAAGGTTACAGACTAACTCATAGCCTGTGCATGAGCTACTGCATATAAGACCACCCCAGGGATTGACACGAAAGGACCTTTCCCTGCCTCGAAGGGGCCCTGTTCTGGTCAGGGACATTTGTCGAGAGCTCCATCCCGCTGAGAAGCCCCTCATTTGATCTCGGCAATCAGACAGAAAGCAACGCACAAGCATACACTTATTTCACCGAATTATAAACTGACAAGGCTAAGCGAGTAAAAATCCCACTGTTCATGTAAGAGACCCTATGAAGCAGATTTAGGAAGAGACGGAAAGTTAGGTAGCAGTCTGCTTTCCAAAAACTGTTGGGCATTACTACTCGTGCATTCATTTTTTCAGAGTCCAATTTGACACAACCCTCCTCCCTGTCCCACCCGAGTCCCTTTGGAATCCACTGCACTACAGCAGATGTTAAATCAAAACCTTCTGTACTGCAAGCTCCCTTTGGAGTTTATGTGAAAAGCCAAAACTAAAGAGAGAAAAATCCTTACACCTTCTCTCCACGGAAGCATCAGTGTAGAGAAAACTAAGCTCAGAATATACCTAATAACATGCCAAAGAAAGAAGTATGACTAAGTAAACAGAAACGCCCCCCCCCCGACCCCACGCAGGCCCCATTACACCGTGGTTATCTTCTTGTCCTTGGTGGCCTGCTTGATGGCCGCCTGCTCGCAGATGATCTCCTTGAGCCGCTGCAGCCTCATGTTCTGGGTGGTCTGGTCCCCCACCCCCGTCTGGCTGCGGTGCAGCAAGGTCAGGGCATGGATGTACTCCAGCTCCGTGTACTTCACGCCCTGGTCCACCACCAGGTTCAGGAGCTCATCGGCCGTGTTGTACAGCATCTCGTAGTACTGCCTGCGGGAGGGAGACAGGACACGGCTCACCACCTCGTGCCGGCGGCGTCGGTGGGGCTGCGGGGGACGAATCTGCTGGTCCTCGACCACCTGGTTTACTTATTCCCCAAACACTTACCGACCACTAGGCACTGTCCCGGGCCCTGTGACTCTACCGCAGAGCAAGACAGACCCAATCTCTGTCCCCCTGGAGCCCGCAGGAGCTCCCTTCATGACAATAAGGGAAGGCCCAGGGAGACCTCACATCTTTCAAAGTTCAATTAAAACTGTCTCCTAAGTTCGCATTTACCTCCAAAGAAAGAGCAGTAGGGTACAAAACCAAGAAGGAGAAACAGTCATCGCGCCGGCACTGCCAGCCGCTTCTGTCCCATTCGGTCCCCACTCACTCACTCAGTCACTGCAGGCTCTGTGCAGCCCATGGTCTCCTCCATCCAGTGGGGTAAGAATAGCACTTGCCTCTTAGGGTTATTGGGAAAATTAATTCATCCAAATAAAACTCGTAGAATGGTTCCCAACACAATTATACGTGCTCCATAAACATTAGCTGTTATTAAAAGTGTAATAATACTAATAATATATTAATAGTGATGCAATAATGGTAACAGCCATATATGATGCTGAGAGTCAAGCAGGAGAGGTAAGGAAAAGCAGAGAAATAACAATTGTGTTTCTGCTGACAAGTTAATTCCATGTACTGTCATTGGCCCTCACGGCACCTAGTGAGCTATTATTCCCCTTTCTCAGACAGGGAGACTGAAGGCACAGAGAAGTGAGAGGACGTGCCCAGTGTCACAGAGATACTGGGTGGCTGTGCCGGGATATGAACCCGGGTTTCTGACGCTCAGTCAAGAGGAACGTCCCCTGTGCCACACGGAGGTGTTAGTGCTGTGAATTTATGGCAGAGGAAGGGGAACTCACACCACGCTGGGGGGCGTGAAGGGTCAAGGAAGACTCCACACGGGTGGGGCATTGTCAGGCACGGTTTCCAGGGAGGAAATTCTCGATGTAGAGACAGAAAAGAGCATTAGCAAAGGCAGGGAAGAGGACCTGGGTAGCCTGGGAAGGGCAGCTGAGTAATGGGAGCTGCAGGAAAAGGCAGTTGAAGTCAAAAGGTAGAGAGTCTGACATCAGGCTAGGTAAGTGGCCGCCCTTCCCCATTCCCAAGGCTCTGTTCTGAGCGGAGCTGCCATTCCGAGTTGATCTGGAAGATTAATGAGACACGGTACATAGAATGGTCTGGGAGGGGAACCACTTGGCCAGGATTGAGGGGACACAACAAGGCAGTGGGTTCAAGGCAACTCAGGGGGTGAAGGGAAGAAGGGATCTTGTGAGTCTATGTGGACCATGTGCTCAGAAACCTTGTACTACTGGGCTGGGGGCCTTGGATTTGTTTCTCCTTCTTCAGGAACATTTTGGAAGAAGGATGTCCTAGGGGAGAGCTAAGCTATCTTTGCAGTAGGAAGGCGTCCTGGGGGTCCCAAAGTTTCAGGGATAGTTCATGAATTGCTGCTATAATGCGGCTGTGGGCAGTAAGAGCACTGACATGTCTTCTCACATGGCTGTTTCCCTTTCCTGCTCTGCCCACTCCTTTTCTAATTAATAATTTTTTTTTTAATTTTTTTTTTTAATAGGAGAAATACTTCTCTTGTGACTATATCCTAGAAAATTGCAGGAATGGGTAGTGCTCATCTTGGATGGCAAGTTTATGAGTGACTCCTGGCAGCAACTCATTCAGCATCCTTGTGGAGGGTCCTCGTGGGGCTAATTCTCTGCAGTGGCTTCAAGTGAGTGTTCAGTTTAACCTCATGGAACCACGTCTTTAGGCATCACTACTCTGGGGTAACCTTGAATGTAGACAGAGGCACTTCCGATAGGAGAGATGTGTGAACTCTAACTTCCAGAGGTCTGGGACCCAATATTGGTACAGTCAGGAACTTTTTTGAAGCTTCATGTTAAGCATAAAATCCACACGAACTACTCTTACTCCACAATAAATATGTTGTAATTTAAAAATACTAATTTGAAGGGAACTGAAGAAGCACATTGAAACCCGTAGTCGGGGTGGAGAGGCGGGGAAGAATCTGGGCTGAATCATCGAGACAGTCGCAGTCCCACACCCTGGTGCCGAGGGGTAAAACCAGGAGGGATATCTTGGTCGGTGAAGGTTTCCCGGAGGAGCAAGGAGTCCAGCCACACATGAGGCCCCCCAGTCTAGGGCTCCAGGGCTGGGAAGAGAAGTCCCCACAACTTTGGGCTGTAAAAATCAGTAGGGATTGAGGCTGAGTGACTCGGAGGCTGCTGGAGGCCCAGGCAGTTCCTCCTAAAGGGCCTGTGCAAGGACTCACTCAGACACTCCCTGTGAGCTCCAGCCCTGGGCAGCAGCTTGAAAGGAACCCAAGACATTTGGGGAGGAATTAACTTGCCTGAAATCAGGGTGAGAGCTGGAGGGGCAGCTTTCTCACAGACAGAGGATCTGGCAGAGGCCATTGCTCCTTTGACGAGCCCTCCCCCTGCTGAGTGGGCAGGCAGGCACCTTCTCTGAATCTCCCTCAACCTGACTCATGCCTTTTGCCCCACCCTGGTGATTCCCGAAGACCCTGTCCCTCCCTACCTGCAAACTCATTCAAGCAACAGATGGTATCTCAGAGGGAAGAGGGAAGGGGGGTGGGAAGAGATTAACCAAGGAAGTTATGTGCATATATGCATAACCTATGGACACAGACAATAATGGGGTGAAGGCCTGGGGAGGGGGTGGGAGTGAGGTGGACGGAGTCAATGGGGGGAAAAATGGGACACCTGTAATACTTTCAACAATAAAGAGAAATTAAATTAAAAAAAAGTATTCCAGAGAGATGAACATTTGAGATCTTGCTCTTGGCATATGTCGCCAGTTTGGCTCAAATAAAAAAATTAAATTAAATTAAATTAAATTAAAATTAAAAAATTAAAAATAAAAATGCTAATTTTTTAAAAAAAACCTGATGCTATAGGAAAAGGCATCATATTTACCCTCTGGCTTCCTCCTTATTTGATAAATGAGGCCCCTCCTGATCTAATTCTGTTTCCCTTAGATGCACAGGTGAGCCAGAGACTGTCCATTTTCAGAATTAAGCACACATTTTAAAATTGCTCAAGAAGAACACCTGTCCAAGTCTAGATTTACCAAATGGAATGACAGACCTGGAACCTTGTGTTTCTCCCAATGCTAGAAAGGACTGGACAGCTCTGCACTGGAGGTTCTCAACTGCAGAGTACCCGGGAGCGTGTGTTAAGTACAGGCTCCTGAGGCCCCTTCCCAGGCCTCTCACTCCCAGAAGCCTGAGGCAGCCAGAAGGCCAAGCCAGGAGCTGCTGGTGTGGGAGGAGATACAGAGCATTCCTGTCTCCTTGAGCCAAGGACCTAATAGCATTAGGGAAGGAGACAGAGCAATAAGTGGGTTGTGATGCTTTTCAAGAGATGAAACCTAAAGAACTGGGTTTCTATGTATTATGATGTTGATAGTCTCATCTATCTTAAGAAGAAATGCTGAACCCATCAGACCACATTAAATTAGATTTCTCTTGAAAAAATCTGGTGAACTATTTCCAGGGGTAAGTGGCTGGTTTTCTACAGGGACCGCTGTTCCACGCTGGGAGCAAACAACAAAAGGAAGATGCCTGGACTTCTAGTCCAGGGTCCTTCCGTGTGACAAGTGATAAAGGGCATGCCACTTAAGGCCTTAATGTTTCAGTATCCTCTGAACAATGAAGACCTTTATAAATCCCAGAATGACACTTGGAAGGGGACTGAGAGACTACAGGAGTCCTCAAGGGCCTCGGATAAACAGTGCTCAGAATTGTGAAGCTGAGTTATTAAACAAAATTGTCAGGTAACTGATGGTGTATTTTCTATAGTTAGGGAAAAAAATCCCCATAACCACGATGATATATTAGATCATAAAGAAGCATAAATATTTAAAGAGAGAATGAATTTCATTCATCTTTCAGAATAGTACCCAGTCGCAAGGACTGTACTCAATCAGCACAGCAGCAGCGATACTTGGAGGGGGGAAAGGGTGCTACCAGGTGCCCTTAGGAGAAAACAGAAAAGGCCCCAAACTATACAATTAGAGTGAGCTTCTATGATCAACACAGCCACACTGAAATGAAACCATGCAGCCCAATTGGGGTAAATAATTTACCAGCACTTATTGAGGCCTCAGGAAAACGCAAGCTTGATCTTTCATCATTAAGGATTAAATCAGCAGCCACGGCTTCCGAGGCAGGCACCATGGTTTAGGGGACAGCACTTGACAAAGCTGCCGGGACGGGACACCTGAACATACATTCAATTTAGACCCTTTTTGGCTCATGACTTGTGGAGCAAGTCTCTCCATAGCCCATGACATCAAAGGGTCAGCTGCTCCACCTGGACCAAATTCCTGTTGGAAACCAGAGCTCTACATCTCCCTGATGGGTGGGACATTCTGTGAGAGGTGGCTCCCCTCTTGTGGTTTCTCTCACCCTTTGGCCACATGGTAATATTAATAATAACATCTAACTTTTAGCTGCATTGACACAATCAACCTTTTGATGTAGGTACTGCAGTCATCCATGATTTACAGACAAGCAAATGGCACTTTACGGAATGAGTTATTTGTCTAAGGCCTCAAATGAAGGACTCTGAACTCTAGACTCACCCCAAAGCCGCCAGAATACAGAAATATATGAAACTGTAAAAAGCAAAAGTACTCATTTCAAAGAACACTTGTATAGCTAATTCATTTTTAGTATCATTTAAGAAACAGGGATTTAATAAAATCCACATACTGACTCAACTGTCTGCCTTCCATTGTGATGAAACAAGCCAGGATTGTGGCAATTCAAGATTCATTTATCCACTTTGCAGTAATATTTGAATAACTGGACTTGATCTGGGAATTCAGTGCCCTAGGCCAAATAATGAAGTCACATTGTAAATTCAGCATTCGGGACTTACAGGAAAGCTTTTTCATTCATTTTT